CCCCCCCCCCCCCCCTCCCTCTCACCCCTTCTCTCGCCCCCGCGCAGATTGAGACGGAGTCACTGGAGAAGGTCACTCGCTCTCTCTGACACATGTCAGTGTTGTTTAAGAGTAACCCTCTCTTGCCCTCGCACCCTCTCACCACATGGTACGCTGGCAGATTGACACTCGCGCCATCTCACCTCTTCTCCTACTCTCTCGCAGATCGAGACGGAGTCGCTGGAGAAGGCGATTCCAGCGCTCAAGGGCCAACCGGAAGCCCTCCAGCTCCTCCGCCGCCTCTTTGACTACGACCCTGCCAGGTCTGCCCCCAACGTTGTGCGCTTCGCAGGAAACTTTGAAATCTGGGTGAAATGTTGGTTGATACGATGTTTTTGTACCGAGCAATCCCCGCACTGAAGGGCCAACCTGAAGCGCTCCAGCTCCTGCGCCGCCTCTACGACTACGACCCTGCCAGGTCAGAGAGAGGGATAGAGAGCGAGAGACATAGCGAGAGATAGAAAGAGCGCGAGAGAGAGAGAGAGAGCGCGCGCGAGAGCGAGCGATAGAGGAAAAGAGGAAAGAGATGGAGCGAGGGAGAGAGGGGGGGGAGAGAGAAAGGGCAAACCGGAAGCCCTCCAGATTTTCCGCCGCCTCTTCGATTACGACCTCGCCAGGTTTTCCTCCCACACAACCCCGCAACCACACAACCACACATCCCCATAAGATTTCGACAGTCCATTTGTGTGCGTGGTACTAATTAAGAAATTGCTCGATACGAAGACATCTTATTAGCCGACTTTTCGACCGGATTTCTGGTGTAAATCTCCTTCGAAGGCCGCTGTGTGGATGGTGGCCAAGTTGGTTTTGATCCGCAATGATCGCATTGTTTTCTCTCTCTCGTTCTCTGGCGAATGAAGCGTTCCTAGGAGCGCTGTCCGCCGAGACCAAAGTCGAGAGTGGGGCGTTTCAGAGCAAACGGGAACTTGGGTTACTGGGAGTAACGGTGGGTGTCTGCTCCCTTCCCGGCAGGCGGATCTCGGCACTGGACGCCATGAAGCAGCCCTACTTCCAAAAGTTCTCCCCTCTCCCTCCATCCCTTCACCCTCTCTCTTTCACCCTTGACCCGACACTCTCTCCCGTCCACCCTTCACCCGACTGGCTTGCCTTATCCCGCCTGTCTTGCCTCCCGCCCACCATCCGACTGTCGTACCTTGCCCCCCCCGCCCTCTCCCTTCCATCCCTTCACTCCACCGTCGTACCTCGCCCCGTCCGCCGTGTCTTATCCCCAGATCCCGATCATTGCATTTCGTCCCGGCCTCTCCCGTCCACCCTTCACCCGTCCGTCTCCCTTTGTCCCACCGCCGTGGCTTTACAGTAACGCTCTCGCCCCTCCTGGATCTCTCGCAGGCCGTGCCCACTCAACAACGTGTTCCAACAGGAACGTATGTTGCCATGCCAGCAATCACTGCATTCGGGTGCCCTCTGCACCATCTGCTACACCTATCACCACGCAGGGGTTGCCGCCCACATGACAACCTCATCTACCCACTCTGCCTCGCCAGGCCGTTCCCGCTCGACAACGTGTTCCAACCAGCTGCGTTATCCAACGACGTCGACCGTTCCGATGTGCACACCCTAAACCCTAAACCCTAAACCCTAAACCCTAAATCCTAAACCCTACACCCTACACCCTAAATCAAACCCTAAACCCGAAATCCAAAAACCAAAACCCAAAACCCTAAACCCTAAACCCCAATCCCTACACCAGTCCTTCTACGGCAACAGAAACGTCCAGAGCTCCATCCCCATGAGCGAGCAGGCACGCAACCCCTCCCTTTTTTTGTGTTGTGAGTGTTTTGGGAAACCCAAGGTATCATTCAAGGTATTCTTTTTTCTCGTTTCTGAAACCGCCCGAAACCCGAAGCCCGAAACGCCCCTCGCAGCGACCAACCCCGCAGCGCCCTTGCCTCTCCGGAAATGCGTGCTCGTGTTCCTACTGAGAGAGACCTTCATCACTCACTACCAACACGGCCGGAGATATATGTACCCCCACCGAGGCTGTGCCTGAACGGAACCCTCCCTACCAACAATTTCGGATCGATACTAACATCGAAACCAACATTTTGGCTTTAGGGCCTAGTCTTACCAGCCCCGCACGGAAGGGAATACACGGTGACCATCTCGGCTCCGATCCGAAATTAACCGCATCGTGACTTGACCCCTGGCAGGCGCTTGGGCACATCCCGGCGCCTGCCTATGCACCCCCACTGAGGCTGTGTCTGAACGGGAACCTCCCTGGTTTCGATCCGTAATTAACCGCGTCGTGACTTTCCCTCTGGCAGGCGCCCGGGCAGGGGTCGGGGCACGGGCGGGCCAACGGGGGGCAGAGCAGCGTGGCCCAGAAGCGCCAGAGCCAGGCCAACGGCGGCTTGCCGAACAAGAACCAGCGTCGGTGACCAGCTGCAACAAGAGAAGTGCCTGTAACGTGACCTGCCGCTGCTTGCCTGTCTCGCGCGCGAGGGGAGGGGGGGGGGGGAGGGGGGATGCGAGAGGAAAGTGGCCCTCATCCCCCCACTTTCCTCTCTTCTGGGAATACAGGGTGGCCATGTTGGGTTCGATCCTCACACCTCCCCGCCCCTCTAAGCCGGGCCTCTCGTCCGCACAAGAGGAGCTAGCTGCGAGCAGCAGGGGGGGAGGGGGGGGGGGAGGTAGCTAGGCTCTAAGGGCGCCTTGCGTGCTTAGGTGCCCTTAGAGGCTAGACACCTTGCATCCTTAGGTGCTGTTAGAGCCTAGATACCCACAGGGGGTGGCTTGTGAGGGCGGAGTCTGGGACAGGCCCGCCTCGGTGCAGGACGCGTGCGGGGCGGGGCTGGTGGGGGGGGGTACGTGGCGGTTGGGGTTGAGGTGCAGGGGTGCCTCGCTCATAAGAAACGCCCAGCCCCCTAGAGGACCACCATAGGGCCTTAGGCATAGTCTCACATGTACTGTAGGGTCCTACAGGGGTACCTCGCTCATAAGAAACCGCCCCCCCCTAGGACCCTACAGTAGGACCATGCCTTAGTTCCTATGGTGGTCCTAGGGGGGGGGGCGGTTTCTTATGAGCGAGGTACCCCTGTAGGGGAAGACAGTTTCTTATGAGCGAGGTACCCCTGTACGTGGCGGCTGGGGTTGCGGTATCAATGAAGGTCGCTCATGGCACGGAGGGTGTGATAGCGTGTGTGATGGTCAGTGGCGTGTGGTGCGCAGGGTGTACAGGGGTGTCTCAATACAGGGGTTGCTCCAAATAAAGGACACGCACCGCCCTAGGGTCCTACGGTACAGTGTAGGGCTAGTCCTAGGAGAATGGGACCACCCTCGGAGCGGCGCGTGTCCTTGATTTCGAGTGACTCCTGTACACGAAACGCCGCATTGGGGTGCACTGCGACTACAGGGGTACCTCGCTCATAAGAAACGCCCACCCCCCTAGGGTCCCCATATGGCCTTACTGTAGGGTCCTAGCTAAGGGGGGGGCAGTTTCTTATGAGCGAGGTACCCCTGTACCGTACGGGAATCGAACCCGAGACATCAAGCATAGGAGGGCCGCACAAACCACTCTGCCAAAACCATTACTGCGACCAGTACGCATGCGGGTGTAGACGCCATGCTAGCAAGCACTCGTTGAATCTTTTGCCCTGTGGTCTGAGTCATGATAGCAATCACTGCATTATGTTGCCCTGTGTACCATCCACAGCACCTATCACCACGCAGCAGGTTTCTCGCCCACCTCGAATCCTCGTCTACTCACCCTCCCCGCCCCTCCCACAATGCTCCCCCCCACTCGACACTTACCTACCGTCCGCACGCCCATCACTGTGGCGTCCGCATTCAGGCGTCATCGGACACTGCACCCCCCCTCGCCCCCCCCCGCTGACTCGCACGACCCCATCCGTTCCAAACGCCCCGCCACTGGTGGGAGGCACCGTAGGGTGGAGGCTACTATTTGCCCTGCTTGCTCTGCATGCGGTTGACCACAAACATCGACGTGTCCAAAAAGCGCTCCGAGCAGTTGGCGATGCACTGCCGACACCCCACGCGGAAGTGTCAGAGCGCTATAAGGGTGGTACCAGACCCGAGCGCTATGAGGGGCCCCGCCTCACAAACACTGGTCGTGTGTCATAGTCGGTGGCGGGGGTTGTCAGGGCGTACAGGGGTGTCGCACACACAAGAAACACATTGCGATGCCCAGCGATGGCACGGAGGTATCAAGCCCGGCCTCACCACCACAAGTTAGCAACTCACGATCCGCCATTATCATGTCACGATCAGCATCTTGGAACTCGGATCCGCCAGGTCCTGCCGGCATCTCGCAGGCAGCTCCTAGAGGGTACGCCAGCAAGCGGGGTTCAATCCCTGACTGGAACGCCCCTCCCCTGTCCTTAAGGCGGGTGATGTGCGCACAGGGGCGATGGGGTATGGGTACGCACGTTCTTCTCGGAGTCCGTCAAGCTGGCGCCAGGCTTGCTCACGCACTTCTCCCAGCACAAGTCCGTGATCTTCCCCACAACAGCCTGGATCTGCAGCACGCGTCACCCCCGCCAATCAGAACCCTGCCGCCCGCCCCAAGGATCTCCCGCTGGTGCCATGCGCCGCGCCCGAGGTGGCTCGCGTGGGGCGCTTGCTGGCCACGAGGGTGGCTACCTGCTGGATCTGATGTTGATGCTCGATGAACGTCTGCACCTCCTTGGCGCTCTTCGCGTCCAGCTGCTTTGCCTGCGCCGCCTGTGATGCCGCACCAGCCAGTCAGCACCCCCGCCAGGCCGCCTGCCAGCCGATCCAAAGCGTCTCGTGGGAAAGAGTCGTGCAGCAGGGGCTCTAATCCAGCTCGCTCGCTCTCTCTCAGACCGCTGCGGCACGCCCCTCAAGGGGGGGGGCTAGGAAACAGCAGCAGCAACGATGCACCAATCCAGGAAGCCGACAAGGGAGCCGAAGCGGGGCGAAATTCCTGCATGATCGTAGTCACGAGCAATAACCTGACCTCA